TCTAGTAAAAATATTTTAGTGTAATCGGTTTATAAAACTATTTTTAAAACCAATAAAAAAATCGATGAATAATGTAAAAATTTCAAGAAACCAATACTAATTGTTAATTGCAATAAGTACATTCAAGGATTTAATTAGTGACAGATAATTACAATTAACTTCACTATGCAGAATGAATTAGATTTTTGAAGGTGTAACGAGCCGTCGCCAACAAATGGAAGTTTAGAAAACATAATATAAATAAATATATGTTAACATTTATAAAGATTACTTTGTTAATTTAGGTTGACCCGAAAATCAAAGAGAATTTCATTTGGCTGCAATTTGAAAATAACTGTATACCTATAAATTCCCAGTGTCGTTTGATTGTCTGTCTGTCCTTCCATAATCTCGAGAACGATGTTAATTAGATAAAATTACCAGATATAGACAGGTTGGAGTGGATGGCAGGCCCAGATTAACTTTATAAGAACTTTCGGTACAGAATAGAAGTCATGTGATTTCAATTCAAAAATTTTCCCGGAACGGAGTTACATAGATGACGGCATAACTCTATTGTTAACAGGAAAAATGTGATGTACAGGGGCAAGACACTACAAATTTAAGATCGAGAGTATATATTTTAAATTAAATAAATTTCAAAATATGTTTAAAAATTGCAGCATGGTATTATGATCATGTCACAATAATTTTTAATGTATGTTTTGTAAGTAATAAAATATTAACATTTAAATAATGAAATAAATATTTTGTCTTCAAATGATTAACTGACTTTTGGGCACTGTATATCTCTATATATTCATATTAACAGTGCAATGTATAATGTATATATATATATATATATATAGAGAGAGAGAGAGAGAGAGCGAGATTTATGTGTGTTGCCAAATCTCAAAACAAGAAAATCTTTCTGACTTTGTTCGAAAGATTTGGTTTATCGTTGATTAAACATAGAGAATGATGGAAATCAATAGACAGAAGTTGATAAAGAAATGATTATTTTCAAACACGAATCGATAACAGATTTTTTTTCAGTTGATTAGTGAAATATATACCAATTAAATTATAAAAAAGTTTATAAAAATAACCAAAAAATATGAAAAAAATTAAAATATAAAGTCTAAATTTAGTTGTAAATACGTTGAATTGAATTTCGCTTAGAATAACTTTTTTTTATAGTAAATTTGTCAAAACTTTAATGTTATTTCTGTAAATAATATTTCTGTATTTGTAAGAAATTCGATTATTCAGCGTTATCGCCAGAGGGCACAATGTTGCAAAAAATTCACTGAATCCAACTTTAACCCCCAAGTAATGAAACAATAAAGTAATAGCAAGTTTCCACTTGGTCTATATTTTATCTGTAAAATGTAAAACTTCCATTTTTATTTTTTATGTAAAACCTTTTATTCGATGTTTTTACTACATTTTATAATTTTTTCTTTGAAAAATTTTATTTTATTAATAAATATAATTGTAATAATAATAATTTCAAAAAAATGTAATGTAAAATTTTAATACGAAATATACGGTTTTTCTTATTAAACTTGAAAAAATAATGCTTAAAAATTTGTGTAAAACACAAACACTAATTATAATTATGTGTAAGTTGTGTCTTTAATAAATTCTAAAAGTGTAGAACTTTTTAACGTTTTCTAAACAAATGTTTACAACTTACAGTAATGAATTTTGTGCATATATCAAAATTAATGCGCTTCAGGTGTAATTTACCTGATTTTTTTCACTCGTTGCGAGTGTCAGAAATATTAATTACTTAAGATAAAAGTATAATAATAATGCCTTAGTCACAAATGAAAATACATGAGAATGTTTATAGTTAAATTTCATAAACTTTCATGATGTAGATATGAAAATTAATTGAAATATTTTGGTAATGCATCATGTTGAAATTGCATAAATTTTTAATCGTAGGAGTTTCTGTTTAAAATTATTATCTATAGACATCTTCATATACTTTCAGAATAATAATAAATTATTACAGTTATTAATTAGAATAATATGGAAATACTGAAGGATAGGTGAAGGTTATATCAAGTTTCTACTCTTGAAGTTTACTTTATTAAATTAAATAGCAAGTTTCTCGCTTATTACCATGAATAATGGGTTCGAACACGTCCAAATTTTCATAATTTTTCATGGTACAAGTTGAGACATTATTACTTATTTCTCCTCCTTAAAGACCATTAAAGGCGCATTTTTGGATGGACATATAGTTAATATATGCTGGTGCCACATTTTAATCCATCAATGAATTAAATTAAAAAATGATTATTATGTAATTCATCCTGAAAGTTTGCATTTAAGTTCGATAAATTAAATAGTATGTTGGAATAACCCACAAAATTATATATATATGAAAGCGAGATATAGATTTCCTTTTTTTTATTTCTTTCTCTTTAGCTTTCTCATATGAATTTATAAAGAAATCTATTTACGCTAACTACTTATATTGTACTCACTAAATTTGACAAATTATTACGTAGAATAATTTTCAATTCAATAAACTAAATTATTATTAACAGACATTTGAATTATTCATTTCATTTACGATATTATTCGAGAAAGATTTCTTTAAAAAAATATATGTATAAATATCTTTATTTAAACTATAACATTCACAGAAACATTTCATTATCTTAATTGAAAAGCTGACATGACATTATTGAAGACAATTATTTTGATATAATAAATAATATGATGGAATGGAATCTAAGAATTCTCCATTTTTCTGAATAGAAAAGAAAATTTTCTTATTTTTTCTCCTATATGATTTCTGTATGATTCTTTCTTTCTGTATATTCCAACGATCATTCTTCGAACATCCGATTCTTAATAATAATTCAACATTCTTCATTCGTCAGTGAATAAGACTGAATATTTTATTTCGTGCATCACTGACATGAATCACTCATCATTCATCCCTATCAATCTCGAACAAACGTTTACTGTCTTCTTTCTTTACTGTCTACATATATTGTAAATGAATCTATCCAGATGTGAATGATAGTAGAATGCCAACATCGTGTTTATTAATTTACTTTATTAATGTTTAGCTTCCTCCATTTTCTTTGTCGTTAGATAACGTTGAAACAAATGTCTGATATTTATACATTTTCAATTAATTAAATCGCTTTAGAATAGAAAAAACAAATGTCAAAAAAGATTGATAATTTAATTCCTCAATGAAACAATTAAAATTCAAAGCAATTTTTAATGAAAAATAAAAGGGGAAAAATTACAAGATTAAGTCGAACTAAATAGAAATGACACAATTCAAGGAGGAAGCAAAGGAATATACAAAAGAAAAAAAATTTAATTTCTTGAAAGTAAAATGAATATAACCATTTACAAACCAAATTCTAAATGATGATAATTGTTGAGAAATAATTGAAGTTGAATTCAATGAATTATTTAAAAGATAATATAAATTTCGTTTACGAATCGTAATACATCATGAAATTAAAGAACTAAAAGTTCTTTTTAAATTGATTATTTAACCGTTTTTTTATTTTTTAAATAATGAAATAAATTAAAATTACTTGTCATCTAATTTATTTTTTATACTCAAATTAAAGTAACTATTTCTTGGCTTTTTTGAAAATATTTTTCAAATAATTAATAATAGTTATGTTTATTAATTAATTAATTTTTAAAATCAGTCAGGACGTAGTTAAATATATAGATATTTTAAAATTTTACATGGCTTAAAAGTAAGTTAACCGTTGTAGATTCAAAATTTTTGTGTTATTCAAATGTTTTTTTTTTCTTTTTATTTGCAAACTCTAGAAGAATCGTGTACTGCAATTCTCACTTCTTCATAATAAAGAGACGCTGCATTTGATTTTAGTAGGTTTACAGTTACTTCTTTAAATCTTTTATTTAATGTGTAAATTAATTTGATACGGTTAACTGATTTTTGGACCATACTTTATTTTGTAGGCACGGAAATAGTTAATAAGTGTAAAAATAATAGTTTATATAATTTTCTTAATTTTCAGGTTCGCTAATCACAAAACGTTTAGTATATAAGGGAATTCGTTTAGTGATTTTTATATTAATAAATATATTTTTTTATTACTATAAATATTTTAAATAAAAACATATATCTGTCCAACTAAACGTTTTATATGATTTATTTTCTGTTAAATTTTTCATATTTGGAAAAAACTGATAAAAATAAAAAAAAGTATAAATATATATTTTAGAATTTGCAGTTGTAGTTTTATTTTAGTATTTTATATTGAGATTTAAAAAATAAAATATAAGGAACATTTTTTATACGTTTACGTTTTAGATTTTTCTTCAGTTTCTTTTGTTTCTATCTTCTGTATGCTTTCTCTTGATGGAATATTTGAGTTTAGGTGATTAAAATTGATAGGTTCTTACTAATTTCTGTAATGTAGCCAATAATATGTTTTCTAGAATCTTTCGTTGTTCATTAGTAAATTTTTTTTCGCCAAGTCGTTTCCTTTATTGCAATTACAGTAAATTGGTTGACGAAAACCTGCAATAAGGTCGTTCCTCTATCCATCTAGATTTGGCAAAGTGAGTTTGAAAAGTATTTTAGTCAATGTTCCATCTAGCAACCGATTATCGTATACATTGCGAGTACCTCTCTCCTTCTTGCATTGTAGAAGTGAAGTCATTTCGGTGCTGATTAGACCGAAAGAGAACTGGCCAAATGCCATTACAAGAAGATAAACCCTAGATAATCTCACTCGCTTTAGATTTGTCTCAGATAAAGGCATTGGTGTTAATATAAATAAATTAAGGACCGCTCTCTTTATTTATCTCCATGAATTAAAGTTCTTGGGTCTTAACTTGTCTTCACATTATGCAAATAGACTATTTTAGAATCCTCTTTTAATGACGTAAATGTTTTAAATTTATAAATATTTATTTAAAATTAAACTTTAATTATGTAATTTTTTTGTTTTATTAATTTTATGTATTCGTACGTATGAATTTCTTTTTAAAAGGTAAACCTTTACCGTCTTTAACGTGGTGGCGAGAGAATGTGTTGTTAGATGACACATATCATATCGTTTCTTCAAATTTTGTAATGAATGAATTGGAGATTTCGGCGTTACAACGTCATGATCTCATGGCTGTCTTCACTTGCAAAGCAATTAACAACAACATTACAGCACCCCTCGTGTCCTCGGTCACGATCGATATGAACTGTAAGTAAATGATTCTTCAAGGCACTTCTTATAAACTATTTTAAAAACTTACGCTTTTATAATTTAAAATTCGAATCGTATAACCATTATACATAAATATTTTACGGGGTATTTTTATTTAAAAATGTTAAATCGATGACGTTTTAGTGCAATAAATAAATTGTAGACGGTGAGGCTCGATGTATATTTATAGAAATTTCAAATTCACTAATCGATTAACGGACGGAGAGAGAGAGTTTGTAACAAGTACGTTAATCAATATCGTGTCGTGAAGAGAACCCAATATGTTGTCTTGGACTGATGCTCAATTCCTATTTTTTTTATGTCTTCAGTTCGTCCACTCGACGTACAGATCGAAGGAGAACGAAAACCTATGGCTTCAATGAAGCAAGTAGAGTTAAACTGCAGAGCAATTGGTTCTAGACCTCCGGCACTGATTACCTGGTGGTTAGGAAAAAATAAACTGAAGTCGGTCAAAGATATCGTGTCTGTCGATGGTAATATAACGACCAGCGTTTTATCATTTAGACCATCGAGAGAGGATAGTGGAAGATATTTATCTTGTAGAGCCCAAAACACGCTAATTGCTGACAGTACTATCGAGCATGGATGGAATTTAGATGTTTATTGTGAGTGTTTCTTTTTTATATTTTTAAATTNTCACGATCGATATGAACTGTAAGTAAATGATTTTTCAAGGCACTTCTTATAAACTATTTTAAAAACTTACGCTTTTATAATTTAAAATTCGAATCGTATAACCATTATACATAAATATTTTACGGGGTATTTTTATTTAAAAATGTTAAATCGATGACGTTTTAGTGCAATAAATAAATTGTAGACGGTGAGGCTCGATGTATATTTATAGAAATTTCAAATTCACTAATCGATTAACGGACGGAGAGAGAGAGTTTGTAACAAGTACGTTAATCAATATCGTGTCGTGAAGAGAACCCAATATGTTGTCTTGGACTGATGCTCAATTCCTATTTTTTTTATGTCTTCAGTTCGTCCACTCGACGTACAGATCGAAGGAGAACGAAAACCTATGGCTTCAATGAAGCAAGTAGAGTTAAACTGCAGAGCAATTGGTTCTAGACCTCCGGCACTGATTACCTGGTGGTTAGGAAAAAATAAACTGAAGTCGGTCAAAGATATCGTGTCTGTCGATGGTAATATAACGACCAGCGTTTTATCATTTAGACCATCGAGAGAGGATAGTGGAAGATATTTATCTTGTAGAGCCCAAAACACGCTAATTGCTGACAGTACTATCGAGCATGGATGGAATTTAGATGTTTATTGTGAGTGTTTCTTTTTTATATTTTTAAATTAATTATAATAAATTTCATAGAAATTATTCATTTTAAAAAATTGCATTTATATTACTTTAGAGCCTCGATAAAGAATTCTAAAGAAATTATACTATAGTTCTCTTCTTATGGTAATTCCTAGATGTAAATAATGTATAATGAAAGGGAAAAAATATAATATTTAAAATTTATCGGATAAAAATTTATAGAAAAATGTTTTTATAATTTGAATAAAAAAGAATCAATTTTTAAATTTATTGTCACGGGACTTGAATTTATTTGCGTATTTTTTTTATTTTTGGGAAATTATGTTTGTGTATTGATTTGAATAATAAGCAAATACAAATAAATCATTAACTTACTATTATTTCAATAAAATTTCCAATTTAGATAATAAATTTATTTACGATTTAATAACGAGCATTTCTTCAGAATAGATGAAATGCTCATATCCAATTAATTCACTAGTGTAAAAATTTAACTTATGTTAACAAGTTTTTCTTCATGAAACAATTAATTTGTATTATTTTATATATTCTTTTATATTAATTCAGAAAATTTAAGATTTTGAGTAATTATTTACAAACCTTTGCATCTCCTGAGGCAAATATTTATTGAAAACACATTTTCATTATCAACAATACGTAAATTATGTTAACTTAGCAAAGCGCATTGTTAAAAATAAATCGATGTATACCACTAAGTCGCTTTTATTTCCTGAAAGAAGAAATAAAATATGTAAATTTTTTCTATAAAATGTGTTAACTATTTAAATTAAAAAAGAATTTTTAAATATTTTGAGAAATTCATTGTAAAGATCTTCATATTTGTTAAACATAAAACTGTTTATGTTCAATTTTTTTAAATAAATATTTTGTATAATAACTACTCGATTTTAAAACGTTGCTAAAATTCTCCCATTTGCTAAACTAGAAGTCGCATTTTTAATGAAAATCAAATTTGATTTCAGATGCCCCCCAGGTGACTTTACGCTTGAGCAGTAAACTTCGTCATTCTCCTATTCAAGAAGGAAGTGACGTGTATTTGGAATGTGTGGTGCATGCCAACCCACCCGCCACCAATATCGATTGGAAGTTTGACGAACGACAATTACAGACAAACAGGACGGCGGGGATTATCATCACTAATCAGTCGTTGATCCTGCAGAAGGTACACAAGTCGAGCAAAGGCCAGTACACGTGCATTGCTACTAATTCTGAAGGAAGAGTAGAAAGTAATCCTGTGATGCTCAGGATACAATGTGCGTACTTCCATTTATTAGCGTATATATAATAATATAAATTGGCATTTCTATTTTTAATAGTAATATTAATTATAAAAATCATCTCTTTTATAATAAATAATTAATAATTATATAAAACTTAACTGACGAGTTTTAGGGTAAACAATATATTTTTTAAACGTTTTTGAGTTAGTGTCTCGTTAAATATTTATTCCATATAAATAACAATTACTGAAATAAATTAATAATTTAATAATAAAATTTTTATTTTAAAGTAATAATAATAATTAGAAGCATTAATATTTTATTTATTAAATAAACAAACTGAAATGAAATGAAATACACTTTGATCGTAAATCAAATTAAGATAATTGAAAAAATTTTAAATGTATACACTTTATATAATTTATAAACTTATTTCCTTTAAGATAATTAAATTATTAAATTTTTTAGTAGTTGTTATTTAATTATTATATACTTCATTAGGTACTATAAAAAATCAAATAACTGTTTTAAAATAGTACTTTTGATTTAATAGAATTAAATATAATAAGTAATTTGCAGAATATATTATATTACCAATTAATTTTTTATCTTTAAAATATATATTTGAGTGTTTTTATATTGAATAGTTATTTATTATATTTAAGAGAATAAGTTCGATTATTTTTGTATGATTCTTCGATATAATGTTACTTATAGAGCTGCTATTGATAATAAATCAATTAATTAAATTTTCTCTTATGTATTTTCTGTTATTCACGTAAAATTTTTATAAGTATACTGTAATAATATTAGTGATAGCTCTGTTTCTAGATACATTTTTGTGGTTTTTGTAACTATCAATTATCGAGATGACAAAATGGTGGCAATTTACTCGCAGACTCGCCCGTTTGTGCCCATCAGGAAAAAATTGTTTACAGTGGTGGGAAGAACGAGCCAGTGAGAGTGGCGTGTGAAGTATATGCTGACCCGGAACCATTAGCCTTTCGATGGAAAGTTAACACGTCAGTTGACACAGGACAAGTGATGACGATGGCCAACCAAGAAGCTCGTAACGTTGCCACATATATACCAAAATCCGACGAAGAATTCGGTACTATAGAATGTTGGGCAAAGAATAGTGTAGGGGAGCAAACTACACCGTGCACTTATATCATCTTACCTGCGGGTGAGAAATTATTCTATTAATTTATTTAAATTATATTAGTGTTTATGTTATGATATCTTTTAAAAGTTTATGATAAATTTAGGTCCACCCGAAAAACCGAAGAGTTGCTCTGTTAGTAACCAAACAGAAACGAGTTTCGTAGTCCATTGCATAGAAGGATATAGTGGCGGAGTTAGCCAACATTTTGTGTTAGAAGTATACAGCACAGTGATTAAAACATTACAGAACAATCAAACTTCCGACGTGCCAATATTCACCGTCACAGACTTAGAACCGGGAGGAAATTTTCAAGTTTTTATATATTCTAGTAATTCGATTGGTAGAAGTTCTATTATTGTACTAAACACGAGTACTCTACCGTCACCATCGAGCTTAACACGTACAGGTAATTAGCTATTAAAAATGATATACGGTATATTCGTACATTAGTAAATTAGTCTGTATGCGCGTGCGAAAATAATTATTTGTTCAGCATTAAACTCATATTAACATAGGACACAAAAGTGCTGATTGAATATAAAACAACTTTAAATTTTCTTACATTATTTTATGTCTGTTTTATGAAGTAAAAGTATTTTAAGTACAATATTTAAGTAAGGAGTTGACAAGATAGTAAACTAAATAAATTCTTATTGTCTAATTAAAATAAACATCGTAAATTAAATGAAATACAGGTAGATAAACATTCCAGAATTGCTAGAATGAAATAAAACGTTACTGATACAAAATTAAATTATAACATTTAAATTATAAAATTTTCACTTAATATCTCAATATCTACATAAAACATCAACTAATTACGCGTAACATTTAGTTAAAGATTTTAGTATATTTTGCTGATTTTACATTAAATATAATTAATAGAACAAGCGAGAATTTTGTATTTAAAATGATAATTGCCGTAAGGAGATTTTATTTTTCAATTTTAGATTTATCTATTATATTTTATTCATTTGTTTTTATTAGTAGAAATGAAAAGAATTATTTATCTGTTAATTGTTCTAAATCTTTTGAAAAGAAATAATTTTCTCTGCTTTTTTAAGAAAACAAATTAAACGAATTTATTTTATTTTAATACAAATTCTATCCAACAAAAATAATTTTTATATCATATCAAGCATCTTAATCAATTCATACGGAATCGAATAATCATATTCTTTCACACGAGTGACTTTTATAAACACTGATAACATCTTCCTTTCTATATATATAGAGCTTATATATTATAACAATTAGGAAACTTTGATGGAAAAGTTTTCTTTCCTTTTCTTTTTAATTATAATTAATTTGAACATTATATTAATGAATCATTGAAGCAATATGTTACGTTAATTAGAGAGAGATCATTGTTTTACAATGAAAATTTAAAAATATATATAACGATGTAAAATAGAAAATTGAAATTTCTAATTAATAAAATATTATTTCAATATAAGAAAATTTTCTAATCGCGATTTAATTAGGTAATATTTATAGCTGAATATCTCTAATGATAATGGTTAATAAATAGAAGAAAGCCACTATGGTTATGTATTTATCGCTTGAAATCACATAACGAATATCACTAAAGAAAATATCGATTTGATTAGCCCATTAAGTTTAATCAGTGGTGAATTTCTCAAACGTATCTATACTAATAGCGATTTAAAGACTTAGCAACTCAACCAATTTACTGTTAAATATACTTTTGTGACCTTTTAATTAACATTTTTCAAAAGTAATTTCAGATTTGCTGGTGGACAATTACAGATTTCGTATACAAAATTACAGATCTTTCCATTGACAATTAAACATTTTATTCGGAGAATTAGGGATGTTTCTATGGAAAATTATAAATTCTGTAGCTAAAATTACAGATTTAGCACAGGGAGTAAGTGTTTTGCGTAAAAAGAGTGACACCTGATTCAAAAATTCATTATTGTAACGTAATATTTCGATGCTATTGATATAACCTCGATTAAACTTTAACATGCTTTTGAATGGAGAATTAATAATAGTTTATTTAAATTAATTTTAAATGTTATTAAAATTAAATGCTGTTATGATCTTGATTAAGAATTAAACAAGTATTTATTCGTTAGTGAATATTATAAATAAACAATATACAAATACTGTAGATAAAAAAATTTTTAATACATTTGAAATATAATTAGGAATTTTATGAATTAATAAAATAATTTGAATAAATAATTTTAAAATAAAAAATAATCATATGGAACCTGTTTCGTTCATGTAAATTAATCATTTCTTCAATTAAATATATCAAATTGCAATTAATGCAAATGAATTTTCTAAGATTTTATTCCTATTACAAAGAACTGTTAATCTTTGCAGATGACGATTGGAAAATCAATTTTCCTCCAATATTCTTGGTACTGACAATAGTTTCTGTTGGGTTAACCTCATCAATATTCCTGACTATAGTCATTGTGAAGATCAGAAACAGAAGCAGAAACAGGAGAAGTTAGTCATAAATTTTATTCTTTAGGTAGATTTCCGTCTCATAGAGGTTATGTTTTGGACCGGTTTTACTATACTAGTATAAAAACCAACACAAACAAAATATGAATGTAAGTGCCGTTGTGTAGCTTAGAGAAAATTGAACTTTTTCCTGTGGTTTGCTGAATGGTTTAACAAGTAAAATTACTAAACTTATTTTAAGTAAAGACATGGTCATTATATATATATATAGACTTATTTAGAAACTGTATCTTCTTTTAATTATTCTTTACTTCACAACTGGGTACATAGGTAGACACTGGGCATCTTTAACATCCTGAATAAAGAGTGATGTTAAAGATGCCTATATAATTAAAGCATCTATACAATTTCTCATGAGTTAAGTGTTTACATTTCTTTATATTTATTAGTTTGTTAACGCAGATAGTTGAATTATTCAATTATATGTTTGTTAGTAAATACAATTAATTTATTCAATGTTTTATTAGCATGTATTATTAATTAATAGAAATAACTCTAGAAGAAAACTTAATATGCTGCTCAACTTTCAACATATTCTTGCATACGAAAACTGTTTGCTACTACAGTGTTATGTATTATCGAAAATAAACTTAGAACTTTAGAACTTAGAAAAATTATTCAGATATTTAAAGTAGAAACGTGGATAATTTATTATTGCATCAACTGTTTATGTGGTAAATTTTATGGTTCCATTAATTACTAACTTTGAGTATGAATGATATTGAATTTAAAGTGTAAAGTTTGTTTGCAGTGAGTAAAATTAAAAGTATTATAGAAAATGAAACACTGAGAATATAATTTCATATTCGCTGCTGTATTTTGCTAGTTTTAATATATTTAAACCATTGTTTTCATAAATTATATTCAGATAATAATGTTCTAACTTTATACACATAATAAAGAATTTTTAAATAGCTTAAATAAATTTTTGAATATACTGTACTTGATAATTGCAAAAAGCTTAACATTTATTACTGAAAATTATGACAAGAGATAATTATAAAATACCTGTTAAATAAATTAAAAGTATTTGGAAAAGTTTTTATCTTGGGTATAAATCTACTAAAATTATTTGAAAATTTTAATAAATTTCCGGAATAAATATGTTTTAATAAATAAAAATGTATGTCGATTTTTAATGTTTAAGTTTGCTGTTTTTGATGAAAGGAAGAAAAAACACAAAAGTCGATGTTCAGAATTTAGTTTTTATGCTTAGAAAGATTAGAGTTAAGATAAAATTATATTCATGAAATACCAATAAATATTTGTTGATGCGCCGAGTCCACAACAAACTCTCATTAAAAATCTTTCATATGCAAAAGTGTACAAGTTTTTTTGGATGTAATTTCTTGATAACAGAGAATGAAAGATATTAAAGGTTTTCTTGCTTTTTTATTCAAATAAATAGCATTACGAGGGAAATAAATAATTGCGTGTACAAATATCAACTGAAAATACGCCATTAACGATTTTTTCCCTTTATATTTCAATATGACTTTATAAAAGATTTTTTCATTTTATGATTTCCTACATCATTTGTATGCGCAAGTATTTTAAAAAATGTCCATTGCAATGTTATATTAATATTATTTTGTAAAGAATACGGAATGAATCATACTTTATGATCTGGTAAACTAACTCTCGTATGTTAATCAAGTCGTTTTTTTTTTGCTTGAAGTTTTGAGTTTTTACTTTGGTTTTTATCTAAAATAATTATATAATTTAATACATACATATGCAAAAACTTATATATGATTTAAATATGAAGTAAAATGGTATCACAGTTACAGTATATATACTAATTATATTTCAAATATGTGATAAAAAGATAATCTAAATTAATAGAATTTTAATACATCCTTCTATTCTTAATCTCTGACAAATGTTAGCGTAAACTCGTTACAATTTCTTGGTATTTTCTTATTGTTAATACATTTTCTTTTATTCAGTACGTTAATAATTAAAACCGTTTTTATTATGATATAATTAAACCTGTATTACTTTTTCTCTTGTAAGAACAAAAAAATTATTTTTATCTCTCCGTTCAACAGGAATTTTTCTCATTCTAGTAAAAACTTATTAACTGTCTCCAAGGTAAAATTAAGCGAATATGCCTGACAGCATAGTTGGTTAATGCATTCAGTGTGTTTACAGAATACTCTTGGGATGAAAATTCTCTTGTCTCTATATTAGGATTTTCCTGCACGAATATATTATTCGTATGGTAGTTTATAACACATTATTACTGTTATTTGCTTATCAGAAAATCAACTAAATAAAAACTATATTTTATCAGAAATTACCGAAATAACACTGGATAGAACTTTGGTTTTATGATAATATATCACGATAAGTACAGTATACTCAAAAATTGTCATTGTTAAGTTCTTGATGTTCGTGTAAACAATTTAATATGTTAAGAAGCTTATAATTTTCTAAATATTTATTATAAAAGAAGGTTTGAAGTTGATTGGAATAGAAAATATGTAGTTATAAAATTCCTCGTATCGATAAATTGGAAATCCGAGACCATTTGTCATCTGTGGGTCATCATTTTAAAGCTAAAGGTAACAGATGTGTTGCACTTTACGCCATTTTCTTTAAGTTTCTATTATTTTGTTCGAAAAAAACTCGAATACTAAGATTCCCTCAAGTATTTATTACGAGAAAAATGTATGGGCTTTTCGTGCATTGCTTGATAGGAAGGAAGATCCAAATTAAATAATTTCAATTTTAAATAGTTAAGTTTGTAAATGAATTCCATAATTTATTTCAAATTTATTTAAATTTATGAATTCAAATCGCTTCAGTTTCAATTATAAGAATTAAAGTTAATTTTACAGGCTATTTACTCGGCACATTGGATACTTTTCCTTCTACATTGCAAAATTAAATTCTTCGAATAATCCTTTTTTATATTATTAATATTTTTTAAACGAACCGAATAAATTTCCAATATAAAATACTTAGACAATTTCTGGTTTTAGTCGGAATTGATTTTGTAGCTATTAAAATAAATTGATTTTAGTTGATCTTGTCTATCTTCATCTCACACTTCGGTGAATGAAACGAAAGAAATTAATTAAGAAAATCCCACTAAGTTCTTATCAGTCATTACAGAACTTTCATTATGACAAATATATGATTTAATCTTATCTCTGTATTCGAATTACCATCGAATTTATTTTCAAGTCAAATGAATCTCTACTAGTTTATACGCAATGCTTTATTTCGTAATGAAGGATATAAAATGAAATTTAACATAAGCGAAGAAAGATAATAATTACTTCTTGTATACCATTAATATTAAGATTGACGTATCTCTGACAGACAAAAACACAGAAATGAAAGTAAGATCCCGATAATCCTATATAAAGACTTATAGAACGATAGGAACATTGATTATCCAACCAAAATTGACAAGAATGTCAGACTGCCAACAACCCAGTGGAAGGTGAATAACGTCAATAATAAGAAAGTAGCTATCGTATGAGCAACCTGTGAAACATTACAGGTTTGTCTAGTAATAGAGGCAGACGGAGAAACTTGTAAAGGAATCAATGTCTTCCAGTAATGCAACCGCTTGATCTATTGACTGATGCAAACCATATTTTTCTCTCTTTACAACGTTCGAGTGGTATCGGAATTTACTGTTCCAATATATTTATAACGACATTTTAAGAATATAAAACTATATTTCAAGATTTCTTATTGAAGAAAGTTATAATATTTTTACAAAAATTTAATTATTTGTGAATTTTAACGAAGATTGAAAATATTCTAAATGTTAAAATAAATATTTCCTACTTATAGGGAGAAAAATTAATATATTTAATTAATGTTGTCAACTTTCCTTAAATCATAAATTTTTAATTTTTCTTTTCGTTTTAAATTTTTTAATTAGGATATTTCAATTAATGTATTAAAGATGATATTTTTCTAATTATAAAATTACAATTTATATTCAAAAATTTTATGTCAAATTATTTTTCAAAAAAGAAAATAAATATAGTATTTTATAAAATACAATTTTAAATTATGATACGTAAAAATGTCAATACGTAAATTGTATATATTAAATAATAATAAAACAGAAAAATATTGTCATTAATACAATGTTATTTTAAATAATTAAGTTAATTATAATTAAAATTTAGTAAATATTGAACAATATATTTACTGAGCTGTCTACACACTCACAGATATTGTAAATCAATTTTTTCAATGTAAATGTCAAAATTGCTCAATAGATTAATGTAAATATCATTTACATTGATGTATTGAGTAATTTTGACAAGTAAACACCAAGGAAATAACTACAATCGCTTTATAGATAATTATTATGTATTTATCTTGTTGACAAGTGAACAAAAACAATTCGTTAGAGAAAATGAAGAGAACAGGAAACTGAAAACGTTTCGATAATTAAATTATACGTGTAACGAAAATAAGAATAAGTTCTTCCATTTAATACATATTTTTGATAAATATTAATAATTTTAAACAACTATTTCTATTATTTAAGAAGTTTATATAGTATTAAGAAATAACGGATTATACGCCACAATAAATTTTCGTATTATTTATAGTTTTAAAATCTTAACATTTAATTGAAAGCAATGAATGTAAATCACGTTACTGTGAATACACTTAAATTTATTGCTTCTTTAATTGTTTTTGAATGGCTAGACATTGTAAAATTAAATCTGTAACTCCTTATTAATAAAATACTTTAATAAATAATAATAGATTAGTTAAATAGTTACTGCATAATTACCGATAATGTCATAAGTATGTTAAATAATGAAATATATTATTTGGTCATTGATGACAAATACAATTTATTATATAATAATAATTATAATAACGTTTATTATGTCATAAAACAATTTACAATTCACGAGACAGAATTAATAATACTATATATACAACGGCTGAGTTCTGTTAAATACCTTTAAANTACTGAGCTGTCTACACACTCACAGATATTGTAAATCAATTTTTTCAATGTAAATGTCAAAATTGCTCAATAGATTAATGTAAATATCATTTACATTGATGTATTGAGTAATTTTGACAAGTAAACACCAAGGAAATAACTACAATCGCTTCATAGATAATTATTATGTATTTATCTTGTTGACAAGTGAACAAAAACAATTCGTTAGAGAAAATGAAGAGAACAGGAAACTGAAAACGTTTCGATAATTAAATTATACGTGTAACGAAAATAAGAATAAGTTCTTCCATTTAATACATATTTTTGATAAATATTAATAATTTTAAACAACTATTTCTATTATTTAAGAAGTTTATATAGTATTAAGAAATAACGGATTATACGCCACAATAAATTTTCGTATTATTTATAGTTTTAAAATCTTAACATTTAATTGAAAGCAATGAATGTAAATCACGTTACTGTGAATACACTTAAATTTATTGCTTCTTTAATTGTTTTTGAATGGCTAGACATTGTAAAATTAAATCTGTAACTCCTTATTAATAAAATACTTTAATAAATAATAATAGATTAGTTAAATAGTTACTGCATAATTACCGATAATGTCATAAGTATGTTAAATAATGAAATATTTATATTTCAAATATGTGATAAAAAGATAATCTAAATTAATAGAATTTTAATACATCCTTCTATTCTTAATCTCTGACAAATGTTAGCGTAAACTCGTTACAATTTCTTGGTATTTTCTTATTGTTAATACATTTTCTTTTATTCAGTACGTTAATAATTAAAACCGTTTTTATTATGATATAATTAAACCTGTATTACTTTTTCTCTTGTAAGAACAAAAAAATTATTTTTATCTCTCCGTTCAACAGGAATTTTTCTCATTCTAGTAAAAACTTATTAACTGTCTCCAAGGTAAAATTAAGCGAATATGCCTGACAGCATAGTTGGTTAATGCATTCAGTGTGTTTACAGAATACTCTTGGGATGAAAATTCTCTTGTCTCTATATTAGGATTTTCCTGCACGAATATATTATTCGTATGGTAGTTTATAACACATTATTACTGTTATTTGCTTATCAGAAAATCAACTAAACTAAATAAAAACTATATTTTATCAGAAATTACCGAAATAACACTGGATAGAACTTTGGTTTTATGATAATATATCACGATAAGTACAGTATACTCAAAAATTGTCATTGTTAAGTTCTTGATGTTCGTGTAAACAATTTAATATGTTAAGAAGCTTATAATTTTCTAAATATTTATTANATGTTCAATTTTTTTAAATAAATATTTTGTATAATAACTACTCGATTTTAAAACGTTGCTAAAATTCTCCCATTTGCTAAACTAGAAGTCGCATTTTTAATGAAAATCAAATTTGATTTCAGATGCCCCCCAGGTGACTTTACGCTTGAGCAGTAAACTTCGTCATTCTCCTATTCAAGAAGGAAGTGACGTGTATTTGGAATGTGTGGTGCATGCCAACCCACCCGCCACCAATATCGATTGGAAGTTTGACGAACGACAATTACAGACAAACAGGACGGCGGGGATTATCATCACTAATCAGTCGTTGATCCTGCAGAAGGTACACAAGTCGAGCAAAGGCCAGTACACGTGCATTGCTACTAATTCTGAAGGAAGAGTAGAAAGTAATCCTGTGATGCTCAGGATACAATGTGCGTACTTCCATTTATTAGCGTATATATAATAATATAAATTGGCATTTCTATTTTTAATAGTAATATTAATTATAAAAATCATCTCTTTTATAATAAATAATTAATAATTATATAAAACTTAACTGACGAGTTTTAGGGTAAACAATATATTTTTTAAACGTTTTTGAGTTAGTGTCTCGTTAAATATTTATTCCATATAAATAACAATTACTGAAATAAATTAATAATTTAATAATAAAATTTTTATTTTAAAGTAATAATAATAATTAGAAGCATTAATATTTTATTTATTAAATAAACAAACTGAAATGAAATGAAATACACTTTGATCGTAAATCAAATTAAGATAATTGAAAAAATTTTAAATGTATACACTTTATATAATTTATAAACTTATTTCCTTTAAGATAATTAAATTATTAAATTTTTTAGTAGTTGTTATTTAATTATTATATACTTCATTAGGTACTATAAAAAATCAAATAACTGTTTTAAAATAGTACTTTTGATTTAATAGAATTAAATATAATAAGTAATTTGCAGAATATATTATATTACCAATTAATTTTTTATCTTTAAAATATATATTTGAGTGTTTTTATATTGAATAGTTATTTATTATATTTAAGAGAATAAGTTCGATTATTTTTGTATGATTCTTCGATATAATGTTACTTATAGAGCTGCTATTGATAATAAATCAATTAATTAAATTTTCTCTTATGTATTTTCTGTTATTCACGTAAAATTTTTATAAGTATACTGTAATAATATTAGTGATAGCTCTGTTTCTAGATACATTTTTGTGGTTTTTGTAACTATCAATTATCGAGATGACAAAATGGTGGCAATTTACTCGCAGACTCGCCCGTTTGTGCCCATCAGGAAAAAATTGTTTACAGTGGTGGGAAGAACGAGCCAGTGAGAGTGGCGTGTGAAGTATATGCTGACCCGGAACCATTAGCCTTTCGATGGAAAGTTAACACGTCAGTTGACACAGGACAAGTGATGACGATGGCCAACCAAGAAGCTCGTAACGTTGCCACATATATACCAAAATCCGACGAAGAATTCGGTACTATAGAATGTTGGGCAAAGAATAGTGTAGGGGAGCAAACTACACCGTGCACTTATATCATCTTACCTGCGGGTGAGAAATTATTCTATTAATTTATTTAAATTATATTAGAATTTTTTTTTAACTTCGGAGTCAATAAATAGGGAGGTTGTTTGATTAATAGAATTGACGGTGTTCAGAATTTAAAAAGATTTTTTCGCAGAGAAATAATGTATTCATCTCAAGTATCGTAAAGAATTTTTTTTCTTCGTTTTCTTAAGAAACAAACTTTTCATTTACAATACACGCGCTTCCAATCAAGTGTTTGCCCCTCTCTCTGTAAACACGCAAATCTTATACAAGAGATAATTTTTTGTTAGCTTTCTCTTTTTTAATCTAAAGACATAATAAATTTTTATACATTCTTACACAAGGATTTTATAATTATTCATCGTCAAATTAATCACGACTGTAACTCAACGTATATATTTACATATTACTTATTTGAAATGTCAGTGTTTCGAGTCAGAAACTAAAATTCTTTTCAGATGTTTCTTAATTATTATTTTCGTGTCATTCTTCGTTTCGTTGATTAAAACTTATTTAAAATAACTAATATAAATAGAAAAACTATAAATGAATATGCAATTTTTATGTTTTCTTAATGTATTTTCAATTTAACAAGTTTTATTTTATACATCTTCTAATCAACATTTTTCAAAAAATTTTCGCTGTTACAATTATTATGATTACTTTCTTAATAAATTTTGTTGCCTCATAAATGTCAAAATTCTCTATTATATTATTTATCAGATATACTCAATAATTATTTAGATACTTTGACTTAAATTTTTAAAATGTAGTCATTTATATGGCATATATGTACACATATAAGTAGAATGAATTGATTAATGAATGCATTATATGGCTTTTTTTTTTAAATCGTTGCCACGGTATATTTTATAAATAAATAACAGTATAAATTGTGTTGCAAATTACTGGAAAATAATAGTATATGCATACGCATACGCACGCAAATACACATCTATAAATATTATACAAATATAAGGACTACTCTATTGATTAGTAATTCGTATTGAGTGTATTTCTTTATTTTCTTCTCGTATTTTGAAACTTTCTTCATTGTTTAATTTATTATTTTATTTCTAAAATTTGAAATTGTTTTATTTACGAACTTATTTCGATTAAACGTTTTACTCGCAAGGAATTCGAAATTTGCATTTAGAATGATCGATCCCAGAAAAACTTGGAATGTCAAAGAAATCTGTTAGAGACGTGTGAACAGTCAGAACCTTTTACCCGTGACAACGATACCCACCGATTTGCAACGCAGTTGAAGGAAAGCCAGCAATTTCACGTTATGTCCCACCGCTGCGATAGTTTCCTTTACTAGGAATTGCGTGTCAAAAATTCCGATGTCTCTTCGACTCAAATTTTTCATTGTTTTATTCAGTGGCCTACATCAATCACCATCATCAGTTTGGCCAGAGAAAAGGGGATGGAAGTAGTTACGCTCTCAAAAGAGTTACTCTTATCAATTCTTCAGTTCCTTTTTTTTCTTTTTAATGGCGTGATGTTTTCGGGTTGTGATACATTGATTTCGAATTTTTATCCGTCTTAAAATTAAATTTTATATCTATTTTTAGTAACATTGTTTTTTAAACATGTAAAGATATAATTCAGAAAAGTTCTGTGTAAGATAAAGTCAACAAAATAATTTTAATAGTTACATCGAATCTATCTTGCTGTCATCATGTTTTCTTTTTTGTAGTTTAGCTCCTCTCAATAAATTTCTCCGAAAGAAGCACTTTAGACAAACAAAGAAGTGGAAGAAATCAAACAAAAAAGTTTTTAGCGTTTACAAACAATTGTGAAGAGCGATTTTTTAATTCATTGATTATATATCGGATTTTATTTATTTTTTAAAATTAATTAAAGTATTTTAAAATGTATGAGTTGACACACAAATTATCTTTCTTCAGCGTTAATATATTTACTTTTATATGAGTTATAGGCCTATATACAGAAGATCTATTTAATTTTTCTCTTTAATTTTTAGATGTTCCATCTGCAGCTATGGACGATAAGTAAGTTTGGATCATAAATTGATAAATTTTACACGAAAATTATATTTGTAAGTCTTTAATATATGGAAATTTGACCGAAATTACAGATGCCAGACTCCACTTCGGAAAGATACAGATGATGAATGGAAATCGTGTGCTTACGTTGGAGATGGAAAAGGTCCTGATATCATACCAGGTAATTATTAGAATACAAAGAGACAATAGAATAATTTTTTTGAGGAAAAAATAAAGAAATTCTTATAGAAAGATAAAGAATTTCTTAGAAAATAATGCCATTGTTTACAGTTTAAGCTTACCTATTTACCAGAAATAATTGTGAATTGTTTTACGTTATTCGTAACCGATATCAGATAAATATTACAGTGTTGACAAAAGTGATTTTTGTAGGAATAAGTGGAAAGGAATCGAATTATCTTTGAGATATGAATAGATCGTTGCAGAAATAGACTGCTGGAAGACAATTGTATGATTATGTGTCGGTTACTGAATGAAATGGTGTGAAAGGATCACGTTGTCCACCAATGACCTGGTCACTCACCCTATGACAATTGGGAGTAAGACGACAGGCGATTCACAAGAGACTCGCTCATTCGATCGATACTAAAGCAGCTTGTCAAGCACTTACTTAATGATACTGTCACTTGGAAATTCTATGCAATACGCACGCTCTTCTAACAATAATCTTATTTATAATTAACACATAGAAATTATTATATTTTTAAATAAATAAATGTTAAAATAGCAAAATACAATTCGAATAAAAAAGTCTTCCTTTAAGAACGGAATTCTTTATGGCTTAACCAATATTGGCAGATCAAGTAATTACAAGAAGACATTCAAGGATCTAATTGCAAACGGAAGACTGTTTATAGCTATTTCCTTTTTTGTTTTTTTAATAATTATGTTTACTGTGAAATTAGAAACACGAAAGATTCCCTTTAATTATGTACTATGCACTCTTTATTCACGTTACAAACACGTTCGAATTCTTTCATTTAATTTGAAAATGTTCAAAAACAATTTTAGGAATTCTTTTTGATTAGACAAACGTACAAACGTTTGAGTATTCTCTTTGTAAATAATACAAAACAACTTTGACAATTAAATGAATGAATTTTTTGATGTTAATCGAGTATTTTAATTAAAGTTTTAAATAATTATCATTGAAAATATGCTTTTTTTAAAGATCACTTTAATCATGGCTCTTCTGAAATATGACATTTATTTGACAAAACTTGCGAGTAATTTAAAATTTTTTTTCTTTAATTTTACAAATTAAAAGTTTCGTTGCTTTAATTAAATTAACAAATAAAGAACTTGAAATATAAAACTTTAATTATTTATTCATCTGAAACTTTTAAATTCCTTTTATTCTAAACTAAGTAAAAACTAACGTGTAAGTACAATAAATGTATAATTTACTTAGTAAAAATTTCAAACTTATTATTATTATTTTGTACGCACTTTAAATTTGCCAACTGCTTACAAATTATTAATTAATAATAATTACTTATATTATACGTTGTCAATAAAATACAGCATAAACTTATAAGTTTATATTTTGTTTTCCACGTACTGTACAATACAATTAATTATTATTAATGTAAAACAAGTAAGCTTATGTTTAATGTTTGATAAACATCAAATTCTTCCGCAAATTTCTATACATTTTGTACAGATATATGCACTGGATTTATAATAAAAGACACATGCATTTATATAAAGTAATTCATTGTCCAGTGCCGATAATAGACCATAATCAAACATTAATCTTCGAAGGATTATGACAGTTTTATATATTAAGCATCGATATATGATGCCTAAAGAAAGCAAATTATTCAAGATATTTTCGAAATTCATAAAAAAATTTATTTTATTGCACTCATTCACAATATAAAACTAAACAATAACGTCGAGTAAAGACTCTTATCTTTCGTGATTTATAAAGCTTTCAATCCTTATAAAATGTATAATCAATTCATGAGGATTAAGTATTGAATATCCCTCATTTCTTTCGTATTTGGTGAAGTTTCAGAATAAAAACTTTGTTTATTTTTTGGATATTTGTATATAGAAATAAGGGAATCCGGTTTTTCCGAAGATATGATGAGTGAAGGTGTAGCATTCCAAACTGGAAGTCAAAAAGAAACGGATCAAATCAACTGCAAAATGGTAAGTTGTTTATATATGAAAATCAATATTTACATTTATTTATAAGGTCTTTCAGCCTTTCATATTTATATACATTTATATGTTAAAAATATATTCAGAAATTTGTCTATGAAATTTTACATAAAAATTCAATTAATGCTAACTTTATGTTTACAGTAAACATGCAATTCTTTATATTTTGCGATGAAATATACTATTATTAAAGTTGAATAACTTCATTATAAAAGTTAAACATGCGCCTAATTACGTAATTATTATATAATCATAATTCATGAATAAATCCTTAAAGTGGAATTAAAGCAACTTTAAAGTTTGCAATAATGACAAACTAATATTTCTGATTTGATTGATTCTAGTTAAATATATTATGAAGATATTAGAGGCGTGAATTTTATTATTTTTGATTGTATATATATATATATATATATTGTATGTAAAAATTAATGATTACATTCTTCCGGTGATTTTTAAATAATTTTCACCTCGAATCAACTTATTTCTGTCGAATAAGCGACATCCAATTATTGCGAGTAGTCTTGAAAAATTATTATTGACGTCTTTTCATAAAAATCTGCAGAAAAAACACTTTCTCTTTTCGTTCCTTTCGAGCGAAAAATAATAATAATAACGATCTATAAAAGTAAAGGAGGAGGAAGATTATCGTTGATATTTTTGGAAGAAAAGTTATTTTTGTATTGTTAAATAATAAATTATAACAAAAAATTTATTACATTTAATAAAATAATTATCGGGTTTCTTTATTTCTTGCCTTTTTTTTAGAAATCTGCTAACATAACTTTACTACAATCGTCGCCTACGTATAGGAGTAGAACAATGGAACATACCAGTTTACACAGTTATTGTTCGTCACCGACTAAAAAGTTTACAAATGTAACACCGACATTTACTAGTAAACAGACTAAAGTCTGAAAAGAGGTAAATTTCTTAATTATATTAATTAAATATATGATAAATAAAGAACATAATAATTATTACATTTACAGATAATATACACAATCAATTGTTAACTGATCATAATTAATGAATTACGTAAGCGAAATACTTACGAATATTAAATAATATTTAAAAATAAACGATAATTTATAAAAATAGGTAAAGTTAATTTACTAGAAAATCTAATTTAAAATTTTTTGAATGTTATAATTACTTAACAATCCTTCAGATAAATTTAGATATGTCCCTATCCTAATAAACTCATCTAAAGTGGAGATTATTGAACAGAAGAAAGAATTTTTGCATAAAATAAAGACTATTTTTTCCTTTTTTTCTTTCTAAGAATGACAATTTAATTCCTATTTTTTAGGAAAGATATTGTACAATTACGAGTTTTTAATACGAGTTCATTATATCGAAGTATACACAATTACTAACGGGTCATAATTAATCACTTATATACGTGAAACAATTGTAAATATTAAATAACAACTTGTGAAAAAGTGGTGTAAATTTATCTATTCGCAAATCTTCGTTGAAATTTCCTTGAAAGAAAAACATTAGCGTGTTTTTTGAACCTTAAAATGATTTAGAAATTCAGTCAGATAAGTCCCTAGCGTAAGAAACTCATGCAAAGTGAAGGTTATTAAATAAAAAATAAATTTTTTTATATCAAAATTACAGGAAAGAAGATTATAATAATGAAATACTTAAGATGACAGTTTTATTTTTTCTACTTCTATTCTATAAAAGCGACAATTTAAATCCTATTTTTTCAGGAAAAAAAATATATATGAATTGTACAATTATTATTAATTGTACTCTCCAATGAAAAATTTAAATTCTTTCTAATTCAAATTAATTAAAGTTTTTAATATAACTTCATTATATCGAACCTATTAAATATAATGAGCCGAAACTCTACTTATCTAATGGAATTTTGATCCTTATCTCTAATTATATTCAGTAGTAGAGATTTGTAAAATGATGAAAAGATAATTAAAGATTCAAGATAAACGAAATTAATATAAATATTATTAAAATATGTAAACAGTTGGATTAAACTCAGATAATTATTTTTCTCATTATTTAAGAACTTATTTTTAATAAAATTACTTTTAATTAAAATTACAAAAAGAGTAATTCTTGTTATTCACTTTGTTATTAATTTAATACTTTTTTTATTTTTTTGTAATAAAAATGAATTATTTTTTGATTTTCTATTTAAGGAAGATGAAAATACACTTTAGAATACATTACTGATTGTATAACTTTATAATTATAAATAAATCTTTCGGAACATAGTATGAAGGTTAAATTTATTTCTAAATACAATTTTAACTTACAGGCCTACAAAATAGTTGTAAGGTATATGAAACTATAAAATATTCACCATCTAACTGTAAGGATATGTATATATATATCTATATAGTTACGGCTATTCGTCTATGTATAATATAACAAATTTATTACACAGATATATATATATATAAGTGGTGAAGAAAGTAGGCCTATACAGTAAGTATCTAAAGTTAAACTTGAAAAATTTTTAGTAAACCATATAAAAATTATATTATTGAATTCAGATATATTTATTTTATTTGGATGCACTCATTTCTATTTTTTAAATTTGCAAAAACTCGTTTGAATTAACTGTTATTACACTTAAGTTACAGTCAATAAGAACAATTCTTTAAGACTACAACAAAAAATCGAAAAATGACACATTCAGAATGATATTTTTTAGAATCTATCAAATGTTTTCTGTTTAAAATGTTTGATAACATTTGAATATTTTCAATTACTCATATTTATATTTAAATTTAACGTTTATGTATAAATCGATAATTACAAATGCAAAATTTTTATTCGTATTTGTTTTATTAGAATTTGAAATTCTAATTCTATAAAAATAAACTAAATGTTTTCAATAAATAATTTCAAAATTTATTTTATGAAAAAAAGTTAGCAATAAAAAAATAAAAAAAATTTTAAAATTTTATATAATTTGGAATTACAATTCGAAATAATCTTAAATAGAACAGAATTATTTATTTCAAAATAAAATTTAAAATATACGAGAAAAACATTGAATAACTTTATTAATCTCTTGACATTTTTAAAAATTATATTTTCCTATGACGTCGACATTTCTATTGCCATTTGATTTTTATAAAGGAGTTTCCTATTTCATTCTTCTGCCATTTTTCATTTACTTCATTTTATAGTAAATCTTAAAATGAATCATCTGAAAAAATTACATCAGCCGTCTTAAGTACAGAAAAATTTGCTATTTAAATTTATTTATATGAAAAAACATTTTTGTCAATAAAAGTTATTAGTAATGTTTCTTAAATCTCGTTTACCTGATTCAATTTAGATCCATGTAGATATTAGAAAGATTATTCTCGGCCCCTTACATCCAAATGGATATTTGAATATCCAACAGAATAGAATAAAGATTATTTCAACAATTTCGAAAAACCAGTGAAATGTAAGGAATAGGTTAGCAAGATCTACAAGGATTTCTGAAACTAGTAACGACAGCTCTTGTATTAACAGCGCTTACACCCAAAATTATCTTCTATCTTACTGTAGAAAGGTGATAAAGAAAAATTTTTAAGACAAACTATAAATTAAAAGCTTAATGAAAATGGCTTTTATACAAAAAAAAAAAAAAAAAACATATATTTCCTGAATTTTTCATGGAAGAATTCCTTGAAATGACTCAAACACCGATCCTGTGAGAATAATGCTGTTTCATAGAATACCATTACTTTTATAGATGAGCCAAAGTTCAAGTCATTTTCAAAATAATCTGCGGCGTGTTTTCATGTAGATAGAATATTAGAATTCTAATTGCCCTTACAAATTCACGGAAAGAAACATTCGGTTATACTGGTGTGGAGGTTGTTCTGGGGTGGAATTATATTGATTGAGCGGAGTATATGCCATGTTAAAGTTCTCTAGTTAACTGTATACTCTAGAGTAACAATATTATAAGAATGCGTCAGTCAGTCAGATTTGTGAGCTGAACTTCCCAGTACGAACGAGTGACAGAAGAACCCTTCATTAGCTAAGTTTAACTCTCTAGTTGAGAAATAGAGATAATACTTGCTATACTGATCAAAGATGTTGTAATCAGAATGACACGACATCCAGAGTGTCGTTTGGCTGTAAGAGGTGATCATGTTTCCTGTTTACTTTCTGCCCTAATAATATCTGACATCTCAATTTGAAATCTCATACCTCTTATGATGGAAGTATAATGAAATGAAGTTACGTTTAACTACGTTTAATGCTTACACACAACACTGAATTTCAAGAAGCTTCATTAAATATAAATTTCACTTACATTACAAAATGCTTTTCAGGTTTTAATTCTGGATAACAAATGTAGATAGGGTTTTATATAATCTAGGATATCACTCACTAACAACGATTCTAGGACTGTTTTATACGAGAAAAGATCGTTTATATAGGGTGAAAATGGAAGTCTGATATAAGAATTATTATAATTTAATTCTAATTTACAATCTTCTGATGCATTTTCACTAAAATTAAATATTAAAGTTTAATTTCCAATTCATTTTTCTAAATTTTCAGACAAACTTTTACTTCTATAATAAAGATTTTATTGCTGTATAAAAAACGATCACATTAGTATAAATTAATAGAAAATTGTTTTCATTAAAATAAATTAGTTTCTATTAATTTAACAAAAAGAAATCAGCTAAGAGAATATTTTCATTAAATAATTTGTAATATTTCTTGGATAAATTTACAGAAATATGATACTTAATTAACTTATTAATTTTTATTAATAATTAATAAAACATTAAGTTTTTATTTTATTTGTTAAATACAGATAATTAGCATATTTATTATTACTTTTCATTACAATTAACACAATTAATATTTTCTGGAGAAGTCGTATTAAACTTTTTTATTACAAACTATTCGTGAAATTATTAATTATTATTGCCTTACTATTTTTATTCAATTTCTTATTATATATTTGTCAACATGAACATTAATGTTTATGTTTAAAGTCTGTTTTCTCTAAGAACTTTTCCTCAATTCTTGTGTAAATGCTTAACACCAGTATAATTGTCCTGTTAATGATTAATGTCCATGTTGACAAATATATTCGTGAAATTTTTTATTTATTGTAATAATAAATTTATCATTTGATTTACTTAAATTTATATAAAGGAATGCATTACTAGGCTAATCTTGATGTAAATAATATAAATTACATATTTATTCTATTGTAAAATTTGTTGATGTATATAAATTTTTAATTAATATTTAACTAAAAAATAACTTTCAGAGTTTTGATTTAATGTTTATTATTCAAACAATGATTAAAATTCAAATTATAAAATCTCTATTTTTCTAAATTATGTATCAACGTATTTAATAATTTATTTTATTCAAGTTACCTTTTAAAAAACATCTTTGTGCATTATATAGCAACTTCTCTCTTTTCAATATTTCACGCTTCCTTTCTTTCCCTTTTTCTTTCGTTGATTGGTTGAAATGTGGTGTTCAGCACATATAGGCTCTAAACTCTGAGAGAGCCAGGTTATGAACGCTAGGCGTCCGATGAGCAGGCCTTGTAGATGGAATTGCCACACGCGCGGGGAAAGAATGCCTTGCCGGGAGGTCTTTTAAGGGAAATTGGCCCCTATTCAAGCGTTACAGACGTGGAGGAAACCCGGAAAACTCCATGTGGCTAGCCCGTCCGAGCGAGGCGCGAACCCACGACCGAACGCCTAGTGTTCAGGGACGAAGACCGCTTCTCTCTCTCTTTGATTCTGTCTTTTTCTTTTTTTTCTCGTTCTCCCTTTTTCTCTCTCTCTTTTCTCTTTCCTATTTATGTGTGAAATATTATGTGAACGCCTAAGTCACATGATAGATTTTTCCTTCATTTTATGTTATCGCTATAATGCATTTTATTTCTTCAATTTGTAAACACAACAAAATTTAAAATATGTAATTATATAAAATATTCAGAAAATTTTCTCTCGATTTCCTCTTCTGACATCACTCATTGTTTCTTAAAATTTTTTCTGTAAGCAAAAATTATTTTGTGAAAAAAAAAACATTTTTGAAACAAAATGTTTTAATTGTAGAGTATGTCGATCTTTTCTTTTAAAATTTAAAAAAAGAGATATAAAATATTTTATAAAGATAACTCGATAATCTGACGTCACTTGTGACCATAAAAAAATTCTAACAATTTCAGAAAATGGCATTTATTTTGTGAAAAATGGTAGCCATTTGTTCCAAAAAATATTGAATTTCTTGAAATGACGCAAACACCGATCCTGTGAGAATAATGCTGTTTCATAGAATACCATTACTTTTATAGATGAGCCAAAGTTCAAGTCATTTTCAAAATAATCTGCGGCGTGTTTTCATGTAGATAGAATATTAGAATTCTAATTGCCCTTACAAATTCACGGAAAGAAACATTCGGTTATACTGGTGTGGAGGTTGTTCTGGGGTGGAATTATATTGATTGAGCGGAGTATATGCCATGTTAAAGTTCTCTAGTTAACTGTATACTCTAGAGTAACAATATTATAAGAATGCGTCAGTCAGTCAGATTTGTGAGCTGAACTTCCCAGTACGAACGAGTGACAGAAGAACCCTTCATTAGCTAAGTTTAACTCTCTAGTTGAGAAATAGAGATAATACTTGCTATACTGATCAAAGATGTTGTAATCAGAATGACACGACATCCAGAGTGTCGTTTGGCTGTAAGAGGTGATCATGTTTCCTGTTTACTTTCTGCCCTAATAATATCTGACATCTCAATTTGAAATCTCATACCTCTTATGATGGAAGTATAATGAAATGAAGTTACGTTTAACTACGTTTAATGCTTACACACAACACTGAATTTCAAGAAGCTTCATTAAATATAAATTTCACTTACATTACAAAATGCTTTTCAGGTTTTAATTCTGGATAACAAATGTAGATAGGGTTTTATATAATCTAGGATATCACTCACTAACAACGATTCTAGGACTGTTTTATACGAGAAAAGATCGTTTATATAGGGTGAAAATGGAAGTCTGATATAAGAATTATTATAATTTAATTCTAATTTACAATCTTCTGATGCATTTTCACTAAAATTAAATATTAAAGTTTAATTTCCAATTCATTTTTCTAAATTTTCAGACAAACTTTTACTTCTATAATAAAGATTTTATTGCTGTATAAAAAACGATCACATTAGTATAAATTAATAGAAAATTGTTTTCATTAAAATAAATTAGTTTCTATTAATTTAACAAAAAGAAATCAGCTAAGAGAATATTTTCATTAAATAATTTGTAATATTTCTTGGATAAATTTACAGAAATATGATACTTAATTAACTTATTAATTTTTATTAATAATTAATAAAACATTAAGTTTTTATTTTATTTGTTAAATACAGATAATTAGCATATTTATTATTACTTTTCATTACAATTAACACAATTAATATTTTCTGGAGAAGTCGTATTAAACTTTTTTATTACAAACTATTCGTGAAATTATTAATTATTATTGCCTTACTATTTTTATTCAATTTCTTATTATATATTTGTCAACATGAACATTAATGTTTATGTTTAAAGTCTGTTTTCTCTAAGAACTTTTCCTCAATTCTTGTGTAAATGCTTAACACCAGTATAATTGTCCTGTTAATGATTAATGTCCATGTTGACAAATATATTCGTGAAATTTTTTATTTATTGTAATAATAAATTTATCATTTGATTTACTTAAATTTATATAAAGGAATGCATTACTAGGCTAATCTTGATGTAAATAATATAAATTACATATTTATTCTATTGTAAAATTTGTTGATGTATATAAATTTTTAATTAATATTTAACTAAAAAATAACTTTCAGAGTTTTGATTTAATGTTTATTATTCAAACAATGATTAAAATTCAAATTATAAAATCTCTATTTTTCTAAATTATGTATCAACGTATTTAATAATTTATTTTATTCAAGTTACCTTTTAAAAAACATCTTTGTGCATTATATAGCAACTTCTCTCTTTTCAATATTTCACGCTTCCTTTCTTTCCCTTTTTCTTTCGTTGATTGGTTGAAATGTGGTGTTCAGCACATATAGGCTCTAAACTCTGAGAGAGCCAGGTTATGAACGCTAGGCGTCCGATGAGCAGGCCTTGTAGATGGAATTGCCACACGCGCGGGGAAAGAATGCCTTGCCGGGAGGTCTTTTAAGGGAAATTGGCCCCTATTCAAGCGTTACAGACGTGGAGGAAACCCGGAAAACTCCATGTGGCTAGCCCGTCCGAGCGAGGCGCGAACCCACGACCGAACGCCTAGTGTTCAGGGACGAAGACCGCTTCTCTCTCTCTTTGATTCTGTCTTTTTCTTTTTTTTCTCGTTCTCCCTTTTTCTCTCTCTCTTTTCTCTTTCCTATTTATGTGTGAAATATTATGTGAACGCCTAAGTCACATGATAGATTTTTCCTTCATTTTATGTTATCGCTATAATGCATTTTATTTCTTCAATTTGTAAACACAACAAAATTTAAAATATGTAATTATATAAAATATTCAGAAAATTTTCTCTCGATTTCCTCTTCTGACATCACTCATTGTTTCTTAAAATTTTTTCTGTAAGCAAAAATTATTTTGTGAAAAAAAAAAACATTTTTGAAACAAAATGTTTTAATTGTAGAGTATGTCGATCTTTTCTTTTAAAATTTAAAAAAAGAGATATAAAATATTTTATAAAGATAACTCGATAATCTGACGTCACTTGTGACCATAAAAAAATTCTAACAATTTCAGAAAATGGCATTTATTTTGTGAAAAATGGTAGCCATTTGTTCCAAAAAATATTGAATTTATAAATTTAATTTTTGTATCGCTTTCAATTATTTTAAGGCAATTCTCAAAATAAAATTTATATATATATATAGAGTATTTGTTATATAAATTTTTGATATACAAGAATAATAAATTAAGTATAATATTTATTAATTTTAATTGTTTAATTCTCATATGCGAAATAAAAAGAAGTAACAAATAGCAGTGTATACTTGTTATTTCCGCAAGAAACGAATAAACGTAGTATGTATATAAAGCAGTGTGACGTTTCAAATACAATTATTTGCCACTTGAGGCGTATCAAACATCTCAAGAGCAAATACCTGAGATGTGATTAAAATTTTTTAATGTTATGACTTATTTTTTTCCTATTTTTATGCAAAAACGTTGCAAAATTATTTAATTCACTTTTTCAGTAATTCAGCAGATATTTATATTTTTTCGTTTTATTTAAATATTTATATATTTAAAGTATAGTACATTTTAATTAAATTTTAAAATACTTGTAGTAACAAATTTTAAATGACTTCTAAAAAAGATGTTCTATGCTTGTAAACATTTAGAGTATTTATTTGTCATGATTGCGAAAATAAAAGGTTTCACTTCTAAACAGAAAATATTTATTTAATAAATAAAATATAACAAAATTATAATTAGTAAAAGAACAAGAAATTCAGTAATAATTTTAAGCGAAATAATTCAATTTTTCTTTCTTATACGTGATATACGACACCCAAATTATTATTATTATTGTTGTTATTGTTATTATTATTATATAAACGTGCAGCACTAAAACTTTTATTATATTGTTATCAAATTTCATTTAAGAGCAAATAAATTCCAGATTTTATCATTTAACTATGCAGTATTTACGTATTTAGAAATGATTTCTGTTACAAACAGAAAACTTTACCCTTACGCCTGCAATTATCCGCACGAATGCGATATAATGAAGGTTTCTAGTGTTGTATCTAGTTGAATAAAAGCCGCTTACTTAACATTCTTTCTACTTATTAGCATGAAACTCTGATTAATTGTCAGCATGTTGTCCTCGCCTCTTCTTGTGCAGAAAGAAGACGTACACGACAATCACTACAACAGATATCGCTAGAGCGATGTTAACCGATTGTCTTACACTATGCAAGAGAGAAGAGGAAAAAAAATACACTAGAAGTCAGAAATGCCATCGATCAACACACGATCTACCAATTTAGCATTGTAGTGATCGTTGTTTTCGTTTTTACTTCATTTTGTCAGCCTTGGTCGAACGATCACTAATGGTCTTCCTTCCCGAGAATTAAAGAACACTACTGTATAAAGTTTAATATCGAACTTGCAGGAATGCCGACATACAGGAACCAACGGAAGCACCCCAAAATGATAATGCGCACTCCCGTAATTGTGTGTTCAGTATTTTTATATTGCACTAATAAAATCTCAGGGAAGTTGTTACTCCGCTAAGAGTCGACTGCGGCTGTTTTATAACACTGCAACCATACAGAAACGTCGAAATGCCTGCTTTGTGATCTCATTTTTTTTTGTAAAGAAGACGTGGTAAGCTCACCAAGAAAACACGTGGACAAACTTTTCATGTATGTCGAATATATGGTGTGATTTGAATATAAATACTTTCGCCTGTATACAGGTGGAGAGATTTATAAATATTGTGTTTATAATGACAATGGTGATTTATGTATCTGATTATAATTATGAAAAGATGTTTCTTAAGACGTTAACTGATGAATTTTGTTTTTAAAAATAGATTTTCTAATTAACAGTATGAAAGAATATATTAATTTCAGTTGTAAATGATTGTAAAAATTAATAAAAATAAAATTCCAACTGTTCGAATAACATCTCTTGAAAATTGTTTTTGTAAACATATCAACATATTCGGATTGGAATGTAGAATATTTAATAATTTTTAATAAAGGCCTTGTAGATGGAATTGCCACACGCGCGGGGAAAGAATGCCTTGCCGGGAGGTCTTTTAAGGGAAATTGGCCCCTATTCAAGCGTTACAGACGTGGAGGAAACCCGGAAAACTCCATGTGGCTAGCCCGTCCGAGCGAGGCGCGAACCCACGACCGAACGCCTAGTGTTCAGGGACGAAGACCGCTTCTCTCTCTCTTTGATTCTGTCTTTTTCTTTTTTTTCTCGTTCTCCCTTTTTCTCTCTCTCTTTTCTCTTTCCTATTTATGTGTGAAATATTATGTGAACGCCTAAGTCACATGATAGATTTTTCCTTCATTTTATGTTATCGCTATAATGCATTTTATTTCTTCAATTTGTAAACACAACAAAATTTAAAATATGTAATTATATAAAATATTCAGAAAATTTTCTCTCGATTTCCTCTTCTGACATCACTCATTGTTTCTTAAAATTTTTTCTGTAAGCAAAAATTATTTTGTGAAAAAAAAAACATTTTTGAAACAAAATGTTTTAATTGTAGAGTATGTCGATCTTTTCTTTTAAAATTTAAAAAAAGAGATATAAAATATTTTATAAAGATAACTCGATAATCTGACGTCACTTGTGACCATAAAAAAATTCTAACAATTTCAGAAAATGGCATTTATTTTGTGAAAAATGGTAGCCATTTGTTCCAAAAAATATTGAATTTATAAATTTAATTTTTGTATCGCTTTCAATTATTTTAAGGCAATTCTCAAAATAAAATTTATATATATATATAGAGTATTTGTTATATAAATTTTTGATATACAAGAATAATAAATTAAGTATAATATTTATTAATTTTAATTGTTTAATTCTCATATGCGAAATAAAAAGAAGTAACAAATAGCAGTGTATACTTGTTATTTCCGCAAGAAACGAATAAACGTAGTATGTATATAAAGCAGTGTGACGTTTCAAATACAATTATTTGCCACTTGAGGCGTATCAAACATCTCAAGAGCAAATACCTGAGATGTGATTAAAATTTTTTAATGTTATGACTTATTTTTTTCCTATTTTTATGCAAAAACGTTGCAAAATTATTTAATTCACTTTTTCAGTAATTCAGCAGATATTTATATTTTTTCGTTTTATTTAAATATTTATATATTTAAAGTATAGTACATTTTAATTAAATTTTAAAATACTTGTAGTAACAAATTTTAAATGACTTCTAAAAAAGATGTTCTATGCTTGTAAACATTTAGAGTATTTATTTGTCATGATTGCGAAAATAAAAGGTTTCACTTCTAAACAGAAAATATTTATTTAATAAATAAAATATAACAAAATTATAATTAGTAAAAGAACAAGAAATTCAGTAATAATTTTAAGCGAAATAATTCAATTTTTCTTTCTTATACGTGATATACGACACCCAAATTATTATTATTATTGTTGTTATTGTTATTATTATTATATAAACGTGCAGCACTAAAACTTTTATTATATTGTTATCAAATTTCATTTAAGAGCAAATAAATTCCAGATTTTATCATTTAACTATGCAGTATTTACGTATTTAGAAATGATTTCTGTTACAAACAGAAAACTTTACCCTTACGCCTGCAATTATCCGCACGAATGCGATATAATGAAGGTTTCTAGTGTTGTATCTAGTTGAATAAAAGCCGCTTACTTAACATTCTTTCTACTTATTAGCATGAAACTCTGATTAATTGTCAGCATGTTGTCCTCGCCNTAAAATATTAAAAATATTCCTTAAACTAAATATGAAATAACTCGAACTTCCAAACTTTGTAAATAATTAGAATTATGAAAGATTTTATTAACTTTAACACGTAACATCATAAATTTAGATTGATTATTGGATAATAATATATTTGACGTCACAAAACAATTTTGTGACGTAAAATATATTTTAAATTCCCTATCAAAGGTCATATTCATGATGGAGATAAGAATCCTTTTACAATTGAAATGAGTTAGCTTTCATTTTAAACGGCAATTATGAGAATTCTCTTAAGAGAAGATGTGTAAATTAATTCTACAGACAGGTATGTCTAATTAGGTTATATACACGTCTGACATTTTATTGAACTTGTAGAGAAAGATTGAGATATTAAGTAAATATTAATTACTATCGCTTGTAGCATACGAAATGTCATAAATCACATTCTATCCACTTCAAAAACAATACTCAATTCATTTATTAAAATATATGTAATATGTTTCTTGTATCTTTAATCGATTTATATAAAATGTCACGTATTATTTTTGTCTTCTTTTGGAAACTGTTCTTCTTCAAATTACGTTTTCTTTCTAGAACGTTCATTCTGTACACTCAAAGATATATTCTAAATGCAAGAAGTAATGATTTTTCTTCGTGCTTATCGCTAATATTTATAATCTGAAATTTTAAAGATACTGGTACGAGTGTCTTCATCTTCATTCCATACTTCCTACAACATAATTTCCCTAACAAGTGAGTCATTGTCTTCTTCTATCATTGATTCCCTTATTCCTTAGGGAGTTAATTCAACTTTTATTTAAGAAGTCTGTTCAGTAGAGAATAGAAAGAATAGTTTACTTACATTCTAGATTTTTGTTAAAAATCTCTGATTGTTTGTTTTGATTCAAATTTCTCGAAATGTGAAAGTTTGTGAGGTAAAAGGTGCTTTTCTTCAAGAACTTGTAAGTCTTCTAAAGCATTGATACATTGACGAATTTATCCTAAGTCCAATCTGAATGGTAAAATCTCAACGGAGAAAAGATAAAGGTCAATTTTGATTATTAATAAAAAAATAACAACAGAAAATATTCTAGATTACTGTTTAAAAGCAGACTATTATAAATATGATAAAGAATAAACTGCTAATTGTAATTTAATCATCTAAAATAATTGGTTAAAAAACTTTAATCTACTTAGTTAAAATTCTCAATTGGAAACTAAGATTAAAAAAGGTCATAATGTATTCATGAGTTAAAAAATTAATACAAAAAATTAATGGAGAAAAATGACAACGCGTTTTAATGTTATCAATTTAATTGAATAGAAAATAGAAAGGGAAAACAATTAAATGCCGGAATCACGATTAATGCAGAAAAAATTATTGAAAATATAATAAAATTCATTATTGTTATAAATTTAGCGACGAAAATCGCTATAAATTCAGTATTAATTTGCGAACGTCACTTTAAACTTTTATTTCCTTACAAGTGTTACGAAGTTTAATGAACTTTTCAAATGAATAAATGTATTAAAAACTCTTTTGCAGAATACTTCTTGTAATTAACATGCTTGCCTGTATGAGATGATCACGAAAAAATAGCTATTCTTAATAAATATTAAATAAATAGACATTTTATTAGTTTATAAAAGCATAAACGGTGGCAACGATTCGTAATTTTGAATTAAAGACACAAGATTCACCTGAACTACTTGTTATTCCTTTGTTATTCAAAAATGAGTTATGTTTTATGTATTTTTTATGAATAAATCTCTTAAAGTTATTTAAGTGTACTGCAAATTTTAAAGATTGATCATGAATATATAAAAACCGATTCAAAAGAATGTAGATCGGTTTATGGGTGTATTCCTGTATCGATCTTGCTTTATTTTTGTTTTGCTAATGCACAATTCGTAATTAGGAAATACGTTTAGGAATTCAGCATAAAATTTATAATAATAAAGTCAAAGGAAAAGAAAAATGTGAAATTTTACACTAGATGCATTTGAAAAATATTGAAAGCAACAGAATAACACATATCACAAAAAGGAAACGTTAAAGTTTTTTGAGTATTGATTATAGATTTTTATTGAAAATGTTAAATCGTTTGAATAAACCCATTTCACAGGTTTTTGAATCAAAAAGAAGACATATTCAAAAGAAAAATTTCTTAAATCATGTATGAACTTTTATTGACTGTATAAGAAATCAATTGGATTAATTTATAAATGATATCTTGTTCACACAATAAAGGATTGAACTACCCTCTTTTCAACAATGAAAGAAACCGTAGGAATGGTGTTTTTTAGATAAGAAATCACTACGAATATCGTTCCTTAGAGATAAAGAATATGCTAATTCTCGTATTAGAATGCTAATTCATTTGCATAAAAGTAAAGAATTTAATCCATAACACACTTCTGACTCTATCTATTGGCTCGATAATTAGTACATATTATATGCTTCCACGATCTTGATTCATAGCGGAATCTATGAAAATATGTAAATTAAATGCTGTTCATCCGATAAGAACCATAGTAATGATTTTAGTGTAAAATTATATAGAAACGAGACATGCTTCGATAAATGATTATTTGGTGTATATTTATCGAATCATCTGTGTCATCTACTACATATGTAAATTGATAGAGCCTTGTAATTACGGTTTATGCGCATTCACTCCTTAACTTATTATCAACTACAACAGTATATATGTTAATTGTTATTGAAATAATAAATATGACGTGTAACTCTGTAGAAATTCGTGTATACAATATACGTTACGAAATTTCGAAATTATGCCATTCCAATAGTATCTACTGATATAAGTGCGAACTTTAAACGACTTCTTACACTACTCTGTGTTTATTTATATTAAAAAATGAAGAAGTGACTTCTATTTATACAAGTTTTACCCTAGTGACTATTTAAAAGCTATTCATTATTAAATAAATTATAAATTACAATTAATTTTTTCTAAATTTAATTCTGAATTAATTAATACAGTAATTACAAACTGAACTTGCGTTATCATTTCTATTATTGCGGATTTTAT